CAGATCCGCCAAGGGGTAGCATTCACCACAGTATCCCCAGAAATCTTCGGTCCAAAGATTCGGCTGGAGAGTATACCGAAGGAACGCCCATCATCTTCGTCAGAAGAAGTTGCCCCTCGTTATGTTCCTCATAAAAAGACTTGGAACGGACAGTATGAGGATATCGACACAAATGAGATCATCGAGCCCGAAAAGGTTTTAGTAGATCCGTTTATTGAGAAAGTACTTCGTCCTACAAGTGGGTTCAGTGATCGCCTCTTGGTTGGTTCCTCGAGCGCAAGTGAAAGAAGTAAGAAGTCGACGAAAGGCACGCACCAAAATACCTTGGATCGAATTGACAAGAATATCAAACACCTGCCTACTAATTTAACTAAAACCAAAGTAGTGAACCGATTTACAAATTGCCGCCCCTCCAAAGGATTGACGGCGGTTTTCCTAGATGAAGATGAAGCGACACTTGTCGAATCCGGTAATCGTTCCTCATCTGAAATGCCTACTAATACTACACACGAGTCACGATCTCCCTTGGCAGATAAAAGCAAAGCTTGGAGCATCGCTGTAAGACCCCATTACGCAAACCTATCAGAAACGATTCATAATATTGCCGATGTGAGTCGCCGTCAGTTCAGGATTGTAACTACCAACTGATAACCAGTACAGGAGGTCATTATTCGGCTTGCTGATGAGGAAGATGCCATGAAACTCATTGCCAATCAGTACAAGGAAAATGGAGAGAAACTGCTCCATCGAACTACGGAGACGCGCAAGGATGAGAAGGCCATCATGATGCGAGAGATCGGTCAGAGGATGGGCGAGATGGTTGCACTCTACACTGATGCAAGGGGATTGGCAGACCGCACGAAGAAGGGCCTGAAGAGGTCGCCGCTCTCCACACTTGAGAAAGAATACAAAACGAGAGGCGAGGCTCTCCAGGTGCAAATTGACAAGGGTAAGATGGGGCCGGAAGAGGAGAACTAGGTATGTGGCTTGGTACAAGTCGTAGGTGGGAGACTTGTCGGCGTTGACGACGAACCATACCAGGGCTGTGCTGTGCTATTGTGGCAAGTGTAACGCGATTCTGAAAGACTTGGCGAATTAGCTGTGAAGGCTGGCAATAGCGAGCATGACGTGCACAGTTGCACCGCCTCAAATCTACGTTTCTTGCAAGAGCCCATCATTTACCTCGGCATGGCCACTGTGGCGTAGAGTAGAGCTCATAACGTTCATTCCTAGGTAAATCATTCGCTGTATAGTGATGCACTTGCGGCTGGCATGGTGTTGACGGACCAAATGTGGAAAGCGGTAATGCGGCAGTGAGAAAGTCCCTTGCTAACCCTCAAATGACGTCCCGAGAATTCCCCGCCATTTCGAACATCTCCTTCTTTCATCCACGAGAGCGATTCCAACACACCAGGAAGGTAAATCTGTCGCATATCCAGCGTCGATACACCTCGTACCCGAGTACTGCTCGCACGCTCCTGATCGCTACGGATCCGGAAAGGCACGGCCTGTCCTTGTTCTGTTCGACGGCTTTCCGTTCCGCGTTATTGCCCCACACTTGATCGATCGAGGGACAATTACAACGAGGGGGGGATAAGACATGCCGGGCGAGGGCTTTCATCCTTTTAAAGGGAGAGTGAGCAAACGTTTTAGAGAATCGGTGCGTCTCCACTCATGCGCGTTGGCAGCTTCCGGAGAGCGCTTTAATAATGATGCGGAGGACATTGTTGCTGACGTGGAGATTGGGTTGCAGCTGGCCCCGGATGATGCTTATTTGAGTTGTGAGTGGCCCCCTAGTTCATACGTGTAGAAGTTCAATGTTAACAGTTGAATAGATTATGATATACGATGTGCGTTAGCCCCAATAGTCTAATCTTCAGGTTGACAGCTGATTGGAATTACAGTGACAAGAGAAGATGTCGATACACTTAAGAACGACTGGCTTACGGATAATGTACGTGATGTCCATACACTCTTGTGCGATGCTAACGATGCCCTGCAGACCATTGCATTCTGGGAAGAGTACGCATAACTCAAAAAGCTTTCATATCATTTTACTAACAAAATAGATACCTCGAGCGCGAAGAGCTGCGAAAGTACCCTTCATCGCATATTGTCCTCCTCCGTCCCTCGATGGCATTCATGCTCATGCAAACCCCGGATCCCCTAACACTTAGAGAAGCCCTTCCCAACTTCACACTTACCACCCATATCTTTCTACCAATCAACGACGCGCGGAATGTCTCTGTCGCAGAAGGCGGGTCACATTGGTCTCTCCTCCTCGTGTCCGTCATTGACGGCGTCGCCTTCCACTATGATTCCATGACGCTGTCGAATTACAACGAAGCGCGACTAGCGACAGACAAGCTTGGTCGCTTACTTGGCCGGCCGCTGAGATTCATGAACTTAGATGACAGTCCGCAGCAGGAGAACAGCAGCGACTGCGGGGTATATGTCTGCATACAAATGCGGCACTTGCTCCTCAGACGATTGCTCTCGGCAAATGCAAGAGAGAAGGTTAGCATGAGTATGGGAGGTAAATTAGTGGATGCAGTGGGGGGTAGGAAGGAGATGCTCCGCATAATCGAGAGTTTCAGGAAGGAGGGCGAGAGGAGGAGATCGTGAGCGCTTTGCTTCCTAGAGCATTGTCAGAGATGCTAACTGGCCCGATTTACAGACATGATGAGTCTCGCAGCTCGAGCCCGTTCCCGCGGAAAGGCGAGAAATCCCGGACTCCTCCGAGAATTGACGGCCCATAATAGTGAAGGTACCTTTTCAGCGATTATACGGAGTTCTGTGGCGTGTGTATTTTATCCTGGGTGTCTGGTGCTCAAGCAAGCGAAGCGTACGTGTTCATGACTAGGCATCGGGGAGTTGGAAAGGCAAAACGGTTTATAAACGAGTTACTCTATGACTGTGACTTGATTCGGGCAAGCGGCATAATTGATTGATGTGTAAACGTGGTGTAGACGTGAAAGTGGACATGCTGTGCCCATTTTCGATGAATTCTCTTAAAGAGGAGTGAAGATGGTGTTGGCGGAGATACTTGAGCGGTAATAGGGAATATTTACAGACGTTTTCAGACGACTCGATTAATGGCTGAATTTCCACAGTCGTGCATGCGTGAACTTGTTAATTCGCCTCTACTACCTTGTGCTTAGAGCTTGAATTTTAGAGCTTGAATCCCTTGATAGCTGCTTCTAATATCATGCTTTTCTTGGATATTTACACATTTTATATATCGAAAATTGAAGATTTTCTATAGCTCCCTTTGCACAACTTTTGAAACTCTTCTGCTTGAACAATCACCATTGCTGGATGTACTATTAGAGGCTGAAATAGAGAATCTGATATGAACCTTGTGTTCCGCACCTCTTTGGCTACCTATATAAGAAGATAGTTGATACATTTTGCTCCACCTCACTCGCGGCGCAGCCAACCATCGCCTCCTTTCTCATCAGCTAGGATCGACATGTATCTAATAACTTAAGCAGGTAGAAGTCCTCTGGTGACACAACGCAATCCAGTGTCAAGACCGAAGTTTTGAAGCTCACTTCAAGATATTGCTAATAGCTTTAATCCGAAAGACGGAATGCATGGAGATGTAGAGTCACTATATTCTCCACCCGTTCTGGACGATATCTAGTCAGAGTCTAACTTCAGCCTTACCGGCGGCTTGGGGAAATCAGAATATCCCATACAGATTCCCATGCAGCTGTGGGTTATATGCTTGAACATCCGTGATCTTCGAAGGAAGGGACGCCTCGATTGCAGCTCTCTAAATGCAGACTCCAAGAGCAGTGAGCAGATCCTTACATGACCAGTAAACACTCTTCTGGCCCTTATCTAACCCATGTTAATATTCTCTTGTTGACGTTATGGTTGAAGATTAATTCAATTGGCCGTTTCGAAATTCCTCTTTCTGCTCCATAGTGCGCAAAATAAACCCTCTCAGTGCGGCCCATCTGCTGCTTGTTATATTGGATTGTGCCTGCGCACCTTCAGTCCCTTCAACTTGCATTGATGTTGTTGTCGAATTCTTATATTCTTGTGTGTTTCCGGTCACCAACTGCGCCATATTCTTCCCAAATCTCTCCCTTTCCATCCTCTCCAGTTTCTCCCTACGTTTGGTAGCTCCTGGTCGGCTCCTCATAGACTTCTGCTTGATTTTCCCATTTATCGATTCGGATAGTTCCAGTGCCCCAATATCTTGTAAATTGGGCAGGGCATCGGCGAGGCCTTCTAAAGATGTGACTAGTTTCTTGCTTGGTCGCCTTCTTTTCAAGGGTATCTTGCGTGCTTTCTCAATTCGGTTGACGAATGCAGAATGTTTTATAATTCGCTTATCCTTCTTCGAATTTATGAAGCTATCGGATATTTGTGCTCCTTCACGATGTGTCTCCGGTCGTGTGGTTATCACAGGTCCAGATTTGATGGTATTGGACTTCGAACGCATGGAGGGGCGTTTTTTGGGAGCGGTCGGGGCCTGAAACACAAGTTAGTTTTAGCGCACAGTGTTGCGAATAGACATTCTTGCCATGGTAATAAACTGTCCAGCCTAGCCCTGTAGTTCAGGAGCCTTCACTGCAGTTGACCTGTTAAAAGGTTTGTGGTTGCGGACATATTTGTGTTGACTAGCGTATTATTCAGGTAATGTGCGGACGGCTCTCCCAGCTGCGTCGTCGCCGCCGCTTTTACGCGGCGTAAGGCTGCCAAAGTTATCAACTCGGAAATTCTAATGTGGCAAGATGAGGATTCGTAGGATTCTGACCAGGCTGGCCAGACCTCTAGGAATATGTTTACTATCAGCTTAAGCTTTACTATCGAGTCTTATGAGTACTTATGCAATATCTTTATGCACTACTTTATTCGACTAACTTGACTTAACCAGGAATTACTAGTACGATTATTTTCGAGCTGCTTCGAATAACTACTAACTATAACAATCCAAATAAGCAATTCTGATGAAAGAACGTTCAATCAGAACAAACCTTGCACGTGACATGATGGCCGAGTGGTCTAAGGCGGCGGTTTTAAGTTACGATTTTGGTCGGAATTAACACCGCTCTCGAAAGAGGCGTGAGTTCAAACCTCACTCATGTCAATTCTTTTTTATTTCCTTGTTTTGCCCCTGCGCTGTTTCGATTGTACTCGTTCAAATTTTGCTATTTTACTCGATCGTTAGTAAGTCACCTTGCCTAGGCGAGCGGGTGATTGTGTGACCGCGGGTATGAGCACCTCTCAAGCGAAAGGATAAATTTGTGTCATGGTTGACCCGATGCAAGCTTTTATCACTCCAAAATATATATAAAAAAATCATGGAAGGAGCAAATGCCAAGGCGCATACTCTAAGAAGCCGAATTTTAGAAACAGAGGCTCAACTTAAAAGGCTAAAGGAAGAGTTAGCCCAAGTGGAAGTCTCTGGTAAAGCTCATACTGGACATGACTCGTCGGCGAAGGAGAATCCCGTGGCTCAAGGCACTGGCCAAAAGTGGCCACTTTCAGCTGAGGAATATAAAAGATACGGGAGGCAGATGATAGTCCCTAGCATCGGAATTCTAGGTTTTTATTATCTCTCCTCCCATGTAGCCAAATGCTTACTTTTGCAGGCCAACTCCGGCTCAAGTCCTCCTCTGTCCTGATAATTGGAGCTGGCGGCTTGGGATGCCCGGCCGCAGCATATATTGCTGGCGCTGGCGTGGGAAAGATAGGATTAGTGGACGGAGACACAGTTGAGGTATCAAATTTACATCGTCAAATACTTCATAGTACATGTACTGTAGGGATGCGGAAGGTCGACTCTGCTATTTGTTTCCTCAAATCGTTCGTGGCGTTTCCTTCCCTTTGAAATGCTGACTCTGATGTCTAGGCTGCTGATATATGATTGTCTAGGATAAACCCAAATGCAACTTATGTCGCTCATCCCTGGCATATATCTCCAGAGAATGCTCAAGAAATTGTGGGAGGCTACGACTTGGTCTTGGACTGCACCGACAATCCCGCTTCCCGCTACCTCATCTCAGACGCCTGTGTCCTCCTTTCCAAAATTCTCATTTCCGCATCTGCTCTTCGCACAGATGGCCAGTTAATCGTTCTGAATTCCCCCCCTTTGCCACCAGGTAACGTGGCTGGTGGCCCTTGCTACAGATGCGTGTTCCCTAAACCGCCTCCCGCGGAAAGTGTTCTGACATGCGGTGAAGGGGGGATCTTGGGCCCTGTGGTGGGAGTTATGGGGGTCCTTCAGGCTGTGGAAACTATCGAAATTATTGTCCAAGGAAAGATAACGCCTCCTGATAGTACACAAATTGTGGCGTCGCCGACAAATATGGTCCTGTATTCCGCTCTCGGTACGCCGCCCTTCAGAAGTGTGAGATTACGCCCTAGACGACCAGATTGCTTTGCTTGCTCTCCGGACGCGACGTTAAGGTTAGAGAGTTTAAAGGGTGGCAGCTTAGACTATGCGCTTTTCTGCGGTCTAATGCCTGCCGTGAATATCCTAAGACCGGATGAACGGATAGAGGCCAGGGACTATGCGCAAATCCAAAAGAATGGGGATATGCATTTACTCGTGGACGTTAGGGAGAAGGTCCAGTTTGACATTTGTCATATTGAAGGGAGTATCAATGTCCCATTCTCAACTTTTAAAGGCGGGAATCAGGAAAGTAGAATTCACAAGCCGGACTGGTTGCCACAATCCTTACCCCCAGAAGCACCGATTTATCTCGTCTGTAGGTTAGGGAATGACAGTCAAGTTGTCGCGAGAATATTAAAAGACGCTGGTTTAACTTCTGGAGGGGCCCGGTGGATAGGAGATATCAAGGACGGACTCAAGGCATGGAAAGATCAAGTGGACGGCCATTGGCCAGAGTATTGATTTGGAAAGGGGTTTGGTATTTGCGGGGTGCGCACTGTGAGTTTTGTAATACAAGGGAGATGTTTAATCACACAAACGCCAGTTTCATAGCTTACGATATTAACGTAGCTGAAAGCCCGATTCAATTGTCTCCAGACGAGCGCTGTGACCAATGCAATGCATATAACAAAAGATAACGCCTCGACAGACTAGACATAGGTCTGTCGCTTCTTGTTAAATGCTCGTTGATCCTTCAGCCACTGTCTGTAGCCAGCAACACTTGCAATCTTCTCACCATAGTAATCTGTCTTTCGTTAGCAACACGTCTATTTGCAATCACAATGCCTTGGTTATCTGAATACGGGCTAAAACTCACCAGGTACGGGATTCGCCATACTGCTTGCACTCGGATCTACCCTATACTGTTTGATCCTTCTATAGAATTCCTTCTCTTTCTCATCCATCTGGCTTCGGAATTTCCGATTCTGCAGATTGAAAACGCCTGTTCCCACAATTGGTCCCACCAGCCACCCTGCTCCAGCGCACGTAAACGTCATAAGTCCGAGAGAGATAAAAGGATCGAGAGGAAGTTGGGCGACTAGGGCGTCCATATTTGTAGAGGTTACAAGGGAGGCTCCAGACACGAAACCCAAGGCTGACGTTGTAATCGACGAGCTCAGCTGGAAGAATCGTCTCTTTCGTCGGAGACGGAAGAATGTGTTCCAGTCGAGGAGCTCTGTTGATTTGTTGTCTGCGGATTCTGCCGCAGAGGCTGCGGGGTCTGGGGCAGATGACGCAGAAGATGCACAGCGGATTTTCGGGGAGGTCGGTCTAAATGTTACATTGCGCTTTGGGAAAGGAACTTTGCGGTGCGTGATGGCAGTTGAAGAGTCGGTGGATCGACACGTGCTGGGTGTGCTGGTGTGATATGTGCAGGATGTGAGAACCGTAGGTTGAATCCTGCAGCCCAAAGCTGCAGTTCTAATGGTTGGCGCAGAGAGAAGCATGGTGATATGAGACGGAAAAGGCGACTTGGAATGTGAATACATCAAGTGGAGGCTCATAGGTTTTCAAGGTTGACGACAAGCGCGCTTATTGCGTCAATACATCCAATCATAAGCGCTGTAAAAGCGACCAAGTCTTTCTTTGCTCACAACGAAGCTTCCAATCTATTTTTTGACATATCTCGAACAGAAAGTCATAAATCTCCAATCCACCCTCTCAACACCGCCTTTGCTCGCCCACCACTTTCCACTGCAACCCGTCGACGGCGATTCGAAATTCAGTCCGGCACGTGATGTGCGCTTTATGTCTCGGCAGCCCGCCCTATTGACTTCATCACGTTCGAGAGCTTTGAACTTAAAGGTAAGGTTACCCTGCAGCGCGTTCAACGTCAAGCATGCCTTAAAAGATGAAACGGCGCCTTTTCCCAAGTCCCTTCATTCAGCAATCGAGAGGAGGAAATGATGCTAAAATGGACCGCAGGTCAAGTCGACCTGCCTGTGGTGGCAACCGTCCCATCATTCGATTTCGTAGTAGCAGAGCGACCCAAATACATCCCTGGTTCCGGCCCTGCTCTAGCACCAGTAACGGCCATGCCACCGCACAATAAAGACGGCTTTATCATAGATAAAGTGCAGTTTAAATGGCAGCTTCGGTACCTGGTGGGCTATGAAGATTATCCTCAACTGAAAGTGAGCGTCCAACCAGAGAACATCCTAGACTGGGTTTCCCGACATGCATTGGAGGAGTGGGAGGCAAAACGGTACGAGGAGGAGGAGAGACGCCGCGAAGAGGAAGAATTGCCCCTCATTCTCGCAAAGGAGGAGAGAAGACGAAAGAGAATAGAGGCCATCTCACGTGCCGCCAAGGGCGCTGATGGAAGGAAGCTTAAGAGAAAGCAGCCAACAGACGATGATGTCACGCCTACAAAGACTGGGAGACCAGTAAAGCTCGGCAGAGTTAGCAGGCCATCCAATTTGGCAGACCGTGCCAGTCGCCGTTCGTCTGCGAGGTATCAGCCAGATGATGAAACGCTCTTTACGCCTCCAAGACCATCTCAACGCTCTCAGCGCTCTCAGCAGCCGTCTTTGTCTATACCATCGCATATATTTGACGGTTCAATTACGGTCGATACAGAGAGCAATGACGAAGGATCCATTGATACGGACATGGCTATCGATCTCCAGTTGGGTATTACCGACACTGCGCAGCCTTCTCGATCAACAAGTGAATCGGCTAACGTGCTCGGTCGTCGAACTAGATCAACATCTAACTCCAATACAGCATATCTAAGCGGCGAGGAAGATCGGAAGGCCGCATTGACAAGACCAAAACGGCACGCAAGCATTCTTCCTGGCCAGAGTGCCGTTGCGGCTACCTCAAGCCGAGAAGTGCTAAGGATTTACGAAGACCTGGAACGCAAGAATAAATCTGCGGCAAGACCACTTTTAAGAGACACTCAATCTCCATTGAAGCGAAAGTCGTCTTTATTCTCGCCTTACTCATATAATCCCCCAAGCAACGTTTCCAACCCAGCTGAGAGTTCGTCTCTCAGGTCGAAGACATCGTCACAGGAGGCCGATTCCAACTCGGAGCAAGAAGACTTAGAGAATGATAAAGATGAGACTGAGTACGAAATTCACGAAATCCTCGGCGAGGAGATGCGAGAGGTTAACGGCAAGCTCGTGCTGTATTACCTCATTGATTGGGTGGGTGAATATGATAACACGTGGGAACCAGCCAAAAATGTGAGCGAGGCTGCTATTGCGGACTTCATGGAGAAACGCCGGATGCAGCAGGCATCGAGACAGCCTAGTGGCTATGCGGAAAGTGACGCGGACAGAGGGTATACGCCAAGGGGCTCCCGGATTGGAGGAAGCAATAATGGGAAAGGAAAGACAAAGAAGCCATGGCGGGGCCAGGTGATTGACGATGATGATGGAAGCGAGGACTAAAAATGACGGTATTTCGAACGATTGAGCATTTGCATTTACAACGGTGGTGCTAGGTAGGAGCTGAGGTAGATACCCAAGCTGCATAGCTGAGATATGAACTAACGGGCTTCGATTCTCATCATATCCGGTCACCCCGAATTATCGCTCCGTAGGTAATACTGCCAGTGAGAATAATAATATAATAATACCCAAATAGAGCTCCCGAGCTGGACAAGAGCCCCATTGCCCAGGCACCTATTTCTATGCCACGCCATATATCACGTGCGCGATACCCCAACCACTGCCGTATCCAAT